CGAAGTTGCACTTTCATTTGTTTGTAAATAAGTGACACTTTCTAACCCATTTAATTAAGAATTCAATATGGATTAAAATTTAAATGCCTGTTGCAAAATTACCTATATTTTAAAAGGAAAAGGCCAAATATACCTCTCTACTTTCGGATAATGTGTATATTTAACCTCCATTATACTATCCCGCCAAATTTATTCCCTACCGTTATACCATCTGGCCAAATTTACCCCTACCATCAGCAAACTTTTAAAAATTACCCCACAATCCGTCAGGTGACCCAAAATCTTCCAAATCATTTTAATTAAGTTACTTATTCTTCTTCATCCACTATTTTCAAAATAATTAGCATTTACCTGCTTTCTTAATTGAAAAAAAAAAATAAGAGAAAGAAATGTTAAAATAATAAAACGGTTAGTAATAGTAAATTGAAGAATCTAATTAGGTAGTTTGTCTAAATTCTAAAAGTATTTACAACTTCCCAACTTTAATGAATTCCTTGCACCAAAGGTATGGAGACTTTGAAAGTATTAATGATAGAAGTAAAAGTTCCTTGAAGACTTTACATCGTCAATTCAACTTTGCGTGAATCAAATGCCTACACATTGTGCACTCATAAGTTAGATCGAATTCTATACTAACTAGACAATAACAAAATATATTCGAATATACATGTACATACATGATGATAAGCTGCATATAATACATAATAAATAGACCCACTGAACTCTACGGTGTGTATATGGTTGAAAATAAATAAAATTTTAAATCGATTCCAAACCTGTTATCACAAGAAGAGAAGTGGGTGCATTGGTATATCCATAAAATTGTATAGTCTAGTACCTTTAACATTCACATCAATACTAATTTCTGAAAATACTGGAGCAAGAAGAACAACAAGTGATTACAATAAAAGAAAATTAGGAGACTTCAGATTACTTAACAGATCAAAGAGTAATTTCTAAAAGTTTGCTGAATAAACTTGGCTAGATAGTATAGTAAGAGTAAATTTGGCCGGATAGTATAACGGAGGTTAAATGTAGATAATATCCGAAAATAGAGGGGGGGTGTATTTGGTCCTTTTCCTTATTTTAAATGGGTGAAAATCATCCCCCCAAATTCGTTTTAAAATTAAACTCCCTAACTTGAACTACGACCCTTCTTTCCATCAAATCATCTATTTTGCCCTTTGACATACTCAATCAACTCTTCTACGTAATTTTATTTATAGAATTTTGCCCTTGAACGTTGTGAAGATGTTTAAATTTGTCTTCGTTAATAGTTGGAGTCAAAACTCATGCAATTATAAGATTGATCCAAATTTGCCTTTTTTCACTAGCCGCGGAAGCTTTCCAACATATGAGCATTTTGTACAAGAGAAATGTTCAAATTTGCCCTTGAATTATTTTAAAGGTCCATGTTTGTCCTTGAATTTTACAAAATTTTGCAGATATGTCATCGCTCTAAATCAATCAACATCATATAACAATAGAAACACGACTTGAAGACTACCATTACTCCACCATCACTTCATCCCGATGATACTCATGGAAAGAAAACACAAAAATTCCACGTTCGAACTCATACCTTAATTTTTACCACTTTCCCATGTAAAACCACCGACATTCAACCATTATAATCTCATCTTAATCGCCATAATATTGTTGCAAATGATTTAGAAGCTAAATATTGTATATCTAGGTTTATTTTAGCATTAGTAAGTTGATGTAGAGTTTTGGCATCACTATTGATGATCTAAGAAGGATTGGTGATGACGTTATATAATTGATCATTGTTTGAGTTCACTTCGAAATTATTCAAGGCTTCAGACAATTAAGTTGAACTTGGGGATATATTACATCTTATTCTAAATGGTAATTTAAAATCTGAGTAGAAAGATCCTTTCATCAATTCAGTACAGAGACAATCAAAATACCATTTAGAATAAACGTGACAATTATTTTTTACAGTCTTCCGAGATGTGCTTCTAGTATTTGTTTAGAGGAAATTTTACCTTCTACTGCAAAAGTATACGACATATTTATTATAAACTAAAATTATTTTAAAATATTATTTTCTATAGCTATCTTTTATATTTTATAGCTAAAATAGGTATTTATGATATATACTACTATTGAGGCATGAAATACACTTTTTATATTTTTTCTCTTTCTTTCAATTAACACAAGATTTTCCCTCAGATTTTTTCTTCTTTCTCTCTCTCTTTTCCTTCTCTCTCTTCGAGCAACTCAAGCCCTAGTATTGATGACCGACGAGAAAGAAGAATCTCTCTCTCTTCGATCAACTCAAGATACACGCCCTAGTATTGATGGCCGACGAGACATTATAATATAGTAGAAGGTAGTTAGGAAACAGAAAAGAGTGAATTTTTCGAACTGAAATGAGCAATGTGATGAACCCTTATCATAAATTTGTTGTACGGATCCGACGAACTTTCTTCTCTTCTTGGCCGGAAAATGCTATTTCCGACGAAATTTCTTCTCTTCTTTGTTATTTAATCACATACAATGATACAATTACATTGTATTTTGTACAAATTCACTTAAACACATTGCATTTATATATATATATATATATATATATATATTGCATGTATTTATGTATTTCAAATATCTGTATTTTCTTTAATACAACTGAATACACATGTATTCATGCAATATAAACATTGAAATACACTGAATACAAACATTAAAATAGAACAGAATATAAATAGTGAATACATTTAATTTTAAAATACAGTAAAATATACTGAATACAAATAGAAATACAGTGAATACAACCAATGAAATATACCGAATACAACAGTAAAAATATGTATTAGAAATAACTAAAATACTGTTAATACAAATACATTTGAATACACTGAATATAAAATAGCGAATACAGTAAATACAAACATTGAATATAATGAATGCAACAATTAAAAAAAATATTGAAACACACTACAAAAGTTATATAGAACTTAAAAAATTATTCTAATTAATTGGGTTGATAATGAGGCATATTATTGGTTTTATTGAGTTATATTAGGAGTGTATCATGCTAATTGATATTATTTCCGTTATTAGACAGTTGGACATACCTATTTTTAAGATGATTGCTGTTACTGTATTCATGAATACATGGCGCTAATACATGTGCATACAACTGGACTGCCATGATTTTAGGCGCTTTTTGCTGCTGTATTCGTGAATACATCGAATACATTATCGTAACAACTGAGTAGTAGCTATAGGAAGTAAATTGTAGCTATAGGAAGTAAATTGTAGCTATAGGAAGTTAATAGTCACTAAACAATAGTGGTTTCTGAAAATTAAACTCTATTGGTACAATTATGCTTTGCAGAATTTTAGTTACCAAAAAAGACAATCATTTTTACGCGCATTAAGTATACTAGTGTGTGTATAATTTTGATTGCTTTCATGAATATTTTTAAACTTTAATTCAACACTTATTACAAGTATAAATAGTAAATGCTTAAGTTGTTATTACCTCAATTTTTAATATTTACTTTGTATTATATACATTGAATATATATTTAATAGTAATCATTCTCCGTTATTTCGATTCATATAAATAAATTATTCAACTTTGTTTGTTAGTAGCAAAATTAAAATATGGAAAATTAATTGTAATAAGTGTTCAGCAGCTCGTTCTTTATTATTCACGTTACAATCTTATTACGTTCCATTAAGTTCATAACGGGATTTTTAAATTTTTTCCCCCTTTTAGAGCTACCTTTTGTTTGTTCTTTTACACCAACGAGCTCTACATCCAATGTTCATATCTTTGGCACAAGCACCTATCCTTGAATAATATGCTTAGGTTTACAAAGGCGACATCGGAAACCCAATCAGTATTTTCTGATTGGAATACAACAACAGTAACATATCCAGTATCTCATATCGTGGGGTCTAGGGAGAGTAGTGTATACGTAGACCTTACCCCTACCTTGTGAGGATAGAGAGGTTGTTTCCAATAGACATTCGGCTCAGGAAAGTATAAGCACCACATTAATAAAAATATAGACAAGAAGGGATAGTACCAAAAAGCCATATAAAAGCAGAATAAAAATAACAAGACAGTAAGGTGATCAACAATGAAAGAAAACAACAGTTAGGCATAAAAACCTACTACCAACAGAAAGTGAGACTGTGTGTCAATACTACTGTTATGAACACTCTAGATTACCTACTATACTACCCTAATCCTCGACCTCCATACCTTCCTATCAAGGGTCATGTCCTCGGTCAGCTGAAGCTGTGCCATGTCTTGCCTAATCACCTTTCCCCACCTCTTCTTTGACCTACCTCTACTTTTCCGTAGGCCCTCCAATGTCAACCTCTCACACCTCCTCACCGGGGCATCTGTGCACCTCCTCCTCACATGACCAAACCACATAAGTTGTGCTTCCCGCATCTTGTCCTCAATAGGAGCCACACCCACCTTGTCGCGAATAATCTCATTTCTGATCCTATCTAACCTGATGTGCCCGCACATTCATCTCAACATCCTCATCTCTACTACCTTCATCTTCTGGACATGAGCGATCTTGACTGGCCAACACTCAGCCCTATACAACATCGTTGGTTTGACCACTACTCTGTAGAACTTACTCTTAAGTTTCAATGGCACCTTCTTGTCACACAAAACACCAGAAGCGAGTCTCCATTTTATTCATCCCGCCCCAATATGATATGTGACATCTTCATCAATCTCCCCATCCCCCCTGAATAATAGATCAAAGGTACTTAAAACTCCCTCTCCTAGGGATGACCTGCGAGTCCAACTTCACCTCCCCTTCCCATCCTTGAGTCTCGCCACTGAACTTACATTCCAAGTATTCTGTCTTGGTCCTGCTCAACTTGAAACCTTTAGATTCCAGGGTGTGCCTTCATACCTCTAATTGCGCGTTCATACCGTCTCGCGTCTCGTCAATCAATACAATATCATCTGCAAATAACATGTACCACGACCCCTTTCCTTAGATGTGGGTGGCATCCCGTCCATCACCAGAGCAAACAAAAAACGGCTGAGTGCCGACACCTGATGCAACCCCATCATAATCGAAAAATGATCCGAGTCCCCACCCACCATCCTCACATGGGTCTTTACTCCATAATACATCTCCTTAATCAATCTAACGTAGGCAACATGTACACCTCTAGCCTCCGATCATCTCCTCAAAACCTCCCTCGGAACTTTATCGTACGCCTTTTCTAAGTCGACGAACACCATACACAAGTCCTTATTTCTATCCCTATACTGCTCCATCAATCTCCTAACAAGGTGGATGGCTTCTATAGTCGAACTCCTTGGCATAAACCCAAACTGGTTCTCGAAAATATACACACTCCTTTTCACCCTTAGCTCTACCACTCTCTCAAGACTTTCATAGTATGGCTAAGCAGCTTGATACCCCGATAGTTATTGCAATTTTGGATATCACCCTTGTTCTTGTATACAGGAACCATCGTGCTCCACCTCCACTCTTCAGGCATCTTCTTTGTTCTAAAAATGGCATTAAATAACCTAATGAGCCACTCCAAGCTTGTCTTGCCCGCACTCTTCCAATTCTACCTTCTTCGTCCTTGATGCACTTCACTTGGTCCAAGTCACGCGCCTTCCTTTCTCGCGGCTTGGATAACCTGAACAACCTCTTATCCCTACCTTGGCCCTCGAGTTCCTCATACAAACGACTAAAAGCTGCAGTCCTGGCCACCATAACTGCTAGCTTTGCCTCTTTCTTAGCCAACTTATAATGCTCCCTATTCGCCCTCTTCTCCTCCTCATCTACACTTTCCACTAGTTTCAGATACGTTGCTTTCTTGGTTTTCACTTTTTCTTGTACCTCTCTATTCCAACACCAGTCTCCCTTGTGACCACCAAAGCAACCCTTTGAGACACCTAATACCTCCCTCGCAGCTTCCCTAATGCACTGCGCAGTCGTGGTCCACATAGCGCTTGCGTCCCCACTGCTCCTATAATCCCCCATAGTCACCAACTTGACCCCCAAATCATGCGCTTTAGCTTCCGTCAAGGCTCCCCACTTGATACTATGTTGGCTATACATTGCCCTCTTTCTCTTTTTTCTCGTGATCTCAAGGTCCACAATTAGGAGCCTAAGAACGGTCGAGAGGTTCTCACTCGGGATGACCTTGTAATCCGTGCAAAGACCTCTATCGGACTTCCTGCAGAGTAAATAATCAATCTGAGTCTCGGCCACCGAACTTCGGAAGATGACCAAGTGCTCCCTCTTCTTCGGGAAACTCGAGTTTACTATCACCAAATCAAATGCTCTAGCAAAGTCTAGCAGAGACGTTCCTCCTCCATTTCTATCTCCAAAACCAAAGCCACCATGCATATCATCATACCCCCCAGACGTCGCTCCAATGTGTCTTTTGAAATCACCTCCTATGGAAAGCTTCTCGGTATGCGTGATACAACGCACCATCTCATCCAAATCCTTCCAGAAACGCCTTTTGACTTCCTCGTCCAAGCGTGCTTGGGGTGCGTATGCATTGATTATGTTCAAAGTAAAACATCCAACAATTAGCTTAATAGTCATCAACTTGTCATTCACCCTCCTAACCTCCACCACTAGTTCACGGAGGTCCTTATCAACTAAGATCCCACATCCCGCGCCTTATCTCCGATCTACCTAGTCTCTTATACACAAGCTATATTAATCTTCCTTTTCTCGAGAATCTTCGCTAACTCTATATATTTTCCAGTCAAAATTCCTATGTTTCAAGACCCCACTTTCAGCCTAGTAGCTCCCTTAGCTCTCTTACTCCCTTACCCCCTCCCCCGCGCTGACACCCCCGAGGACAAGACCTTACTCTACCATCGTTCACCAAAGCCACTATAATGTAGGAGTCACTGCTCAAACACTATCCGAAAACAAGCGACAAAATAAAATGAGTTACCGAAATATAATCTACCACTAGAGCTCGCAAAACAGGTAAAGAAATAAAATAAATGAACTAACGGGAACTGTAATCTACAACTAAAGGTTAGAAAAATAAGTGAAGAAATAAAATAAAGGAACTAAAAGAACTATAATCTACCACTAAAGGATGGAAAAACAGGTGAAGAAATAAAACAAAGGAACTAAAGGAACTATAATCTACAAGTAAAGGATAGAAAAATAGGTGAAGAAATACAATACAAGAGCTAAAGGCGGCTATAATCTACAACTAAAGGTCACAAAGAAAATGTACAAAACTAGAACAGAATTATTAGGGGATATTTGAAATAAAGATTCAAAATAAAGATGTAAACAGGTAGATAACAATATAAACAAGTAGGCAAAGCTATCACTAATGCAATTAATTTGACAATGCTAGGGCAAATAGTAACTAAAGGTTTAAGAATAAAATAGACAGGCAAGGAGATACAATTACGCTAAAATACCAAATTATTAAAAGATCAAGACAAGAGAGGAATAATAGAACTTGGATTGCAACCCTTGAAATTAACGGAAATCTAGTCGGCGGTGATAGATTGCGACGAGCTGGAGCAATACTCTATGTATTTCTTGTTCAAATAGGAAGAAGAAACTTTGAATATTTTTGAGCTTTCTCTGGAATTTAGACCAACCAAGAAATCAGCGAGAATTGACCGGAATCTGAATCGGAATCGGCTAAGAAGCTGAAGCGAAGTTGTAATACTCAACAAGAATGTGAAGCCTCTCCTCTAAAGAATATATACAACAATCTTCAGAACGACGGAAGTAATCAACAAACGTACAGAATATACCTAGGTAATCAGCGGGAAGTAATCACAAATGTATTTGAAGCCTCTCTTTTACAGAATATAACAAGTAATCAGCGGGAAGTAATCAACTAATAACTTTGAAGCTTTTCTTTTTACAGAATATCAAGAAATCAATAATATTTATCTCTGTATCAATGTAATGTATGTATTCTCGCTGGTGAATGTTTCTCGCAATATCGCCGGGGAGTTGACCGGTGATTTTGATTGGAGACGGCCGGAGATTTTTAGTTCGAGGTGAATAGAAGGCGTAGTTGATCGTTAAAGGACCGTGGATTGTGAAAACAATGGTGGGGGATTCCAAACAAATTTAGAATATTTCTAGAAAATTTGAGGATTAATTTTGTTGAGATTAATTAATTTGAAGATTCAATCTCTTTGCATTTTTTTAAAAACTTTGATTTGGGTGATTGATTTCTATTTTCTGATTGGAATAAGTAAAGAAATTTTAGGTAAGAAATCATACTTCAAATTGATAATCATAGAACATTCATATCTCACAACAGGACGTTAATATATTGACTGATGTTGTACACTTAATTATGACATCTAAGACTTCATTAATTCAGAGAAAATTGAACCACAAACGGCGGGACTTTCGACCTAAGAAATCTCTCAATTGAGTTGCTAAAATAAGTGCCATCTAAAACTATTATGCAATGTAAATGTGACTGTGATAGAATATAGATTTTTACCTAGTTATACTATAGTATAAACTTATTTACCATCTTTATTTAAGTTTCTTGTTAATTACTTTATATATTTATATTTATTAGTTTTATACAAAACCATAAAAAAGAAGAAATGCAACATACCTTAAACATATTGTATCAGTTATACGTAATCCCCCTATATTTAGGATTCTCTTCCTTTTCCAAACGAATACAAAAACATCTTCTCTCTTTCTTTAACAATTACCCAAAATTGTTCTTAACCACCATAAGCATTCTCCCTTATCCACTGTTACCCAAAATCTCGCGTAAGAATTTTATCTTACCCACTGTTATCCAAAATCTTATTTACCCAAAATCACGCTTACTCACTGTTATCCCCCAAAATTGCAGATTCTTTCCTCTTCCAAAACTTTTGATATCCGATTTCTCTCTTTCATTAATCCAAAGTCTCTTTGTTATTTATACAATGCAAACGAAATTCGAAATTTTGCTTTAGAATCAAATTGTGGGTAAGTTTTGAATCTTGTTTTCTTTATTTTGTCTAATTTTCAAGCTTCACTCTGCATTAACAATGGCTCTTTTCTAATTTCTCAATATTTCATTCTTCTTCATGTTTTTTAGCCATTTAAAAAATGTCTCTTTAATATTCTTTTTCATTCCACCTTTTTCAGAACTAACAATGGGTAAAAAATCTTTGCATGAATCTTTGAGAAAACATTCTGGAAATTGTATTGTTGATACACTAACAAGTAACACAGCAGTTCGGAGATCACCCCGGAAACAGTGTGAAAACGTTGTGGGTGAAACACCTAGTTTTGACTTAGATGTATTTTCACAAGAAGAAAAAAAAATCAAAAAATCAAATTCTAGGCATGTAATACCTTAGTGATTGATGAAGGTTCGGTTTCTAAGAGGAATGGTAAGGCACTTCGAGATGATGATTTTGAAGAGAAGGAATTGATATTAAAAGAAAGAAAGAGGAGTAACGTTAATGACGATGCGAAATCAAAAAAGAATAATAAGGTTGATCCGAATTTCGGCTCTCGTAAAGATGAATCTGATCACAAGGTACTGTAGACCTTTAAAAATATTTCCTTTATATTGTTTTATGTGGTTTTTTTTAGGTAATTTGTTTCTTTTGTATACTTTTTGTATACTGATTGTATGAGTTTTCCAGAGAAATTATATTCATATTTTTTTTAATTATTAGTGTTGTACATATTTTGTATGTTTAGTGTATTACAAATGAAGTTGATTGTGTATGATAGTGATTATTTGACATAAATGACTTGTTATTTGTTTTTTGTATTTTCCCGCATGATTTTTGTATGTACACTATTTTTTGAATGTATCCGTCTTTGTAGCGTAGTGCTATTATTTGTTTGACAATGATATATTAATATATTATTTGTATGTTAGATTATATGTTTTGTATTGTGTTTTATATGTTTATATTAGATAATTTGTTTATTTTTGTATGTTTTTTATATACTGATTGTATGAGTTCTCCAGAAAAATTAATTTTACATTATTTTTTTATTATTGGTGTTGTACATATTTTGTATGTTTAGTGTATTACAAATGAATTTAGTTTTATCAATTTCATATGTTTATGCAATTTTAGAAATAATACTATCGATTAAAAAAATACTTTTTTGTATATACTTGTGTCCTGTTTTTCTTTGCTGATATGTGGGTCGCTGGATTTCTTTTTTTAAGATTTATCCTTACTATTTTATTTTTTAATTCAGAGACAAAAGTTCTTTGTCAAGGAGGGTGCGAAATTTGGTGTGACTCATTGGCAATCATACACAGATCTTGAAGTACTGGAACACATCAAGGAAAATTTGTCAAGTGAACAATTAAATTTGTTTAGGGAGTCATGCATTGGATACTTCCTCGATTTTCCCCCTAATATATGTACACAACATCAAATGATTAATGTATTGATGACAAGGGAGTTGAATGACTACTGTGCTGCTGACATATTCTCTGTAGAGATCAAAGGTTCAGAAGTTGAATTTTGGTTTGCGTGAATTTGGTATAGTTACTGGTCTAACATGTGTTGTGTTTGAGGGAGATCTTGGGTTTGATCCACAGGTAAGACCAAACTTAATGCACAGTTACTTCCCAAACAAGGACAAAGTAGAGAAGAAGCTTCTTAGAAATTGCTTCTTGACCGAGTCGTGGAAATGTGATGAACATGTATTCAAGCTTGTGATCTTGTACTTTATAGACTTGGCGGACTGCCTCTTGCGCTTCAAATTTGGATATACGATTGTTGTTCTATGGTTGGTAAACAAATTGACGTCCCCCCGCCAATAAAATACCTCGTATTCTGAAATGGACAAAGGTCAAATCCCAACTTTGGCAGAAAATCATAGAGAATCTTATGTTCACTCCCAGTTGGATCAAGGTAAAAAAGCTGATTGTTTTTTTTTGGTATCTATTAGTTAAATTCTTAATATATAGAGTACATATACATCTGTCAAGTCAAAATTGTATAATACAATATTATGGCAAACAAAAATAACACAATTATCATACACTTATAATACATATTTAGTACACTATATGTATATATGTATAATTAAATTTTTGATAGCACACTACTATGACATATAAAACTTATACGATTGTCATACAGTTATTATACAAAGTGGATTGCGTTATTATACCTTTTGTTGCAGTTTTCAAATATTGCTGCAACAACTGAAGAGTTGGAACTCATAAAATTACCGTAAAAAGGGGATTATGAAATGGAAGAACGAGGAGACATTGCATCGCATCGTCGCAATCTCCCGTTTATACCTGAAAATTCTGAAGTTGCGAAGAACAAGCCCGACTAAGCTATATTGTGGGAAGACAACGGTTGAGAACTGCAATTGCAAAGGTTCATAGTGATTTAGATGCATTCAAGACAAAGGTAGTAATTGCTTAGAAATGTATTACATTAACTTTTATCGATGTTTAATAATTTGTGGTATTGTGCTTGTTTCTCAGGTTGCAGGTGACTTTGTATCGATGAAGGAATTTTTCACGCAATCAATTAACAAAGTCTTAGATGAAATTAGGAAATCTTCATCCTGTCAATCCGAAAAAGCTGATGTTGCTATTT